TGGCTAACAAGGTTGATAGCCTCCTTTTCTGAAGCCACAGACTTGAGACAGTCATCCACATAGATGGAGTTGATAGTCTCAGCATCAAACTTATGCTTGTCCCGTGCAGTGCACTTCAGGGCAAAGTTGGCGCAACTGGGTGACCACACTCCGCCGAAAAAGTGAGAGGTCATTCGGTACGTCTTTGGAACTTCAGCGATGTCATCATTGGCCCATCACAGGAAACGCAGGACATCATGACCAGGCTTGTTCACCCGAACCTGGAGGAACATCCCTTCTATGTCTGCCATGAGCGCGATGGTCTCTTGACGGAAGCGAAGTAGGACTCCAAATAACTTTTGGTGAAATCAGGGCCTTGGTGTTCCTTGTCATTCAGTGACACACCTCGATACTTTGCAGCACAATCAAATACAATCCTCAGCTTCCTGGGTTTTCGTGGATGGATCACAGGGTGATGTGGAAGATACCAGACTGCTCCGTCTGATCTGTCGAATTGTTGTCGAGGTACTTCCTCAGCATAGCCCTTGGCATATCAATGCCTGCAATGTACTTCTCTTTCATGTCAGTGTCTCTCTGTAGTCTCCTGGTGAGAAGGCGCAGCCTGTGTTCTGCAACTGCCTTCTTGTCAGGCAGATAGGGTGGCTTGGTCTTGAAGGGAATGCCCATGCTGTAGTGTCCGCCATCCAAACAGACAGACTGCTCCACATAGCGATGACCTTCCCATCACTGATAGACAGCGGGTTTGCTGCCTCCTGCATCGTCCAGCTTCCAGAATTTCTCCACTTGACGGTGGAGACTGACATTAGTGTTAATGAAGTGTGAAGATTCACGCTTCTGGGGTCCAGATTCTATCGGACCATTTAGCGTCCAGCCCAAAATGGTCCTCGTGACGTAGGGTGTTTCCAGGCCGCCTTCACGAACTTCCTTAGACGTCATGACTGAAGGGTTGTCTTGTCCGATGAAAAGGTTAACCTAATTTGTGTCTGTATCTGGCAGAACAATGTCCCTCAAATGCGGCCACTTGTTCAACTCTTCCTGGGTCACGAGGCAATCAGAGCTGATGTGGAGCTCAGGCCTGGCCAGCACGTGTCAAGACTACAGTGTTGTCATTTATGTCAGTGACTTCAAGGCTCACAACAAAGGTGTCAGTGAGTACGCCACGGTTGTCGAGTCTGTAAGCCTAATCTTGTCGTGCTTCCCCGGTACTCCAAGTCTCCTCATCAAGCTTTCTAAGCAAAAACTCTGCGTTAATCCAGAATCAAGAAGAGCACACGTGACCACGAAATCTGAAAATCCTCCCTGTCCTCTCACCTTCACAGGTATAATTGGAAGGGCTACTTTACCAACGCCGGCCCCAATGGCGTTGCATGTCATGTTTGTTGAGGTGCTCGTTGGTGGTCTCTTACTGGTATTCATGGGTGCCGAGGTGTCGGCTGTTTGAGTAACGAAGGGGATGGTGTCGAGTGGTTTTCGTCGTGCCGTCACTTGTATGGGGTAGGTGTAAAAATTTGGTGTGCTTAAGTCCACATCCAGGCACAGTGCCGACCGTGTTTCTGGTGCAGTCTTTGGCCCGATGTCCCAACTGCAGACAATTCACGCAAAGCCGCTTACTTTGCACAAAATTCAGCCGGTCGTTAACCCGCAGTGCCTTCCAGGCATTGCAGCCGAACAACCCATGCCCTTGGCCACAAAACAGACTGTTTTTTGTGCCCATACCCATTGCTTGTAGGTTGTACTTGGACTTGACCCAGCGGTTGTCTTGGCTTGAGAAATCTCGACCATTGTATTGAAGTTGGCTCTCTGTTTTGGCTTCGGCTAGTCCTTTGGCCTCGGGTGTTCCTAACAAGTTTACCAAACACAGAGTCGTTAGCCTGTTCTGCTGAGGTTGTTACTAACTTCACTACATCATCAATGTTGGATGCCCTCTCGCCGACATTCTTAATGTAGTGCACCCTTTTTATCCATGTTCTTCGCAAGTCCCATGGCAATTTCTAGATCCGAGAAAGGCCTTTGTCGTTGTTTAGCTCGTTAAGCTTGCCCATGGTGAGCAGGGTCTCTCGGCAATTATGCAGCTCATCTGAGAAATCAAACAGTGACTTGCGGTCTCGAATCTCTGGTCTGGCAACGATCTTGTTCACCCAGGCCTCAGCGATGTCGTATTCATTGCCAAACCTTTCTTTCAGCAGCTTTCTGGCAAGAGCATAACCTTCACTGGGTGTCTTCATCACACAGTACTGGATGAGTTTTCTTGCCGGTCCAGTGCAGTACTGTTGCAGACAGGCAAGCTTGGCTGCATCGTTAACATATTCCTTGTCTACAGCATTTTCAAATGCTCTAATGAACACCCAATAATTAACTGGGTCCCCATCGAAAGTCATCAGTTCTGTCTTTGGCAGATGTAGATTTTCAACGAGGGACTGCTGCTGCAGCTGGCTATTGTTCAGCATCTGAGTCAAGATGTCTCCAACATGGGTACTTTCCATGACGGCTGACGGCGAGTTTGAAGTTGAAATAATGTCCCCCTTTTCACAGGCATTGTTGTCTTGACCAGGTGTTGTGAGGTGACCAGTCACTGGCTGGCAATATGGGATGGAGTGTTTGGTAGGTCCCAACTGAATTTCACCATTCTCAGTCTCGGCGAAAGTTTTTTCCATCGCATCCATTTTGGCTATTTGTCGACATTTCTGTCGTAACCTCAGTTCTTCCTCCTCAAGTGCTTGTCTTCTCTTCTCTGCTTGCACTTCTGCCAGTAAATTAAATTGAATACAGAGATAGCGCACCAGCACAGCAGCTTCCTTCTGTCTAACTCAACTACTACTGCTACTCTATGACGCCACGCTGCTGTGTTTCTGCGCTATCTCTGTATTTAAGTCCTCTGGTCATAACTGAATCACAAATTATTATCATCCGACTTCAGACTTCGTTATTGCATAGCCACCCAAGCTCGCTTGCCACATCTTTCCAGCAAATAAAGTGACATTCAGTTACATGTACATGTAACGGACATTATTTGATTACTAATCCGGGTGCGTGTAATTGCTGAGCCACGCTGTTTGGCGATCTGTAGCGCAAAAGGCTACAGGGATTGTTTTCAATTAGTTTGACATTCTCCTTGGCGTAGTCCATAACATCAAGGCCTGGGAACGTTTCCCTTGCTGCAACAATCTTGCTACAAAAATCTAAGATCAGACCCACTGCGTCTCTGGGGCAACTTAAACCATCTCTCCAGATTTTTAAGAAATTGACTGTAATACTACTGTTTCCATATCTTTTGGACAAAAAATCTCTGGCTTTCTGATAAGCATCTTCTCTTCCAATGAATAGTGCTCATTCCAGTAGTGCTCTACAACTTTTGACGTTGCTGAAACGTGCAGTTAAGAAAGCTCGTCTTTACATCAACATTGACGGGTTGGTGACATACGAGAGAGTTGCGCGCATTCTGCCAAGAGTGAATCCTGGTGGGGATCACTGTTAAACACTGGGATGGTAGTCTTGGGACGTTGGGATGACACAACAAGCATTTGTTGTTGTTCTGCTCTTTAATTTTCAGGAGTTTGCGAGGAGTTTAATACATTTCTCTAAGGAAGTCAGAATAAGTTCATCAACTTTGGGGACTCTGGTCCGTACACAAGGGTCACAGTGGAGTAGTGGTGTGATTTGACTGTATTGGCTGCAAAGGGTCAATATTGGGATTTGGCTCATCTTGCTATTGCACACCATCAAGTATCTCACATGATATACTTCTTTGAGTCATCAGCTCTGGTGCAAAGTGTGACTTCATTACGAGGGGAACTTCCCTCACAGAAGGAAGTTCCCCTCGTAATGAAGGGACAAGGGATGCAGAGGGCATCAAACTCGAGCGGACATCTTCCAGGCAATGGGAACGTGAAAGCTATTGGGACTCAAGGAACTTCTTGATATCTCTCACCATGTCTTCCATCAGAATGTTACTTCACACTCCGATGTACTATCACTGTTGTCTTTTCTGCTTTAACGAGAATGATAATTTGTTTGTTTTATGGCAAACTCAGTCTTCCCAAACATTTTGGTGGTGTCGGTTGATCTCATCTTTCTGTGTCATCACTGATCAGGCTCATCAGTTCATCATACAGCTAATATAGATTATCCCAAGTAATTTGGGCTTGGCCAAAGTTCTTTTTTTTCATGATGCAAGATTGCAGTTCTCTCCCTTTACGTTAAGAACTTATTTCCTCTACCTGCGAACTCTAACTTTTTCACTTTTACACATACTTCATCTCCATCTCCACACCTTATCTCTTCCCAGTCAAGGTTTTCTTTTCTGCAGTCTGGATACTTCTTCATCACTTATGGGGTTATCAGACTGGGGTACTCTCCAAACACGGATCCCCACTTCCTAAGTCCCCATTTTCCTAGGTTCATTCGATTTCAGTCACTTGTGCCTATGGGAGTTTTGTTGACTCAAACCCTTTGAATACTATCGGGATCACTCTGACGGACAAAAAGTTTCACTTTTTGAGACTTCTGAGATGTAGTATGACTTTAATTCTGTATGTCCATGAAACCCAACTTCTGATTTAACAAGTCGGGTGATTGACAGAGTAACCTGTCAATACATCAGAAATGACCTATGTGAACTACGTGAAAGCATGGAGAAATTTCTCCATGGTGAAAGCAAAGGCACTTTTGAAAACAAAAGATGAAACGGCACTGTCCACCCTGAATGATGGGCAAACTAGTTCTACATCGCTGACGGACATACCAAGGAGTATGTATTTCCCTTCTGTTCACACTACCCTCTTGACACAGTCTGATGTTTATGCCATGAATATGCTTCTAAAAAATCATGTCAGTATCAACAGACAGTGGGCCCCAATTTGGTTTTTATTGCTATGACACATTTTTCCAAATTTGGCATTGTTAATGTAGTGGGATGCCACAAGGAAGCCCGGTTCCACTGTGAAACGGAACGAGCGCCGGCATGGTACGTGCACAAAGACCGAGACTGGCTCAGGCAGGAGGATATTTGTAGCCTTGATTTATTCATGACCAGCAACAGTCACAAACACCCCCATTGCCTGAAATAACGAAATAATGAGAGCTCCCAATGAGCCAACTGCATCTATATACATACTGTATATTTGCACACTATAGCATACATGTGTATCGTTGCTTACATAAAATGCATCAAAGTGAATGGCAATGTCCATACATATCATAATACATCAATATCACAAACAAAATCAAGAAGTACTCACAGGGGTTTCCATGTAGACTACTACAAATTCGCCATAGGATTATGCCTACACAGACATAGAAATGGGTGCTACTAACATCAAAATATACCCATGCTCTCCGCATCTCTCTAAAACTGGAATTCCATGGCCAGCCCAGTGAAAGTCTTTGACGGTCTCTTACACTCTCTTGTTTGTATTCATACATGAAGACTTACTTACCAAGTAAATTATAGTACAAGTAACGTAAGCTTCAATTAACGCATCACCAAAATATCACATAATACAAGGGGTAATTATTGTACATTACAATAATTTCGATAAATTCAGTCAGTTCAGTCAGTCTAAAATAATCTTTGGACTTATTTTCCTGGTGGATGTCTACCAAATACTGTCAGTCCTTGCTCGTGGGATGCACAAGGTCATCAAGCAACAATTACTTGACACACAAACATGCAAATAACCTAGATATAATGTATATCAGCTATACACAATATGCATATATTCATGAGTTAGAATTAAAACAGTGAAGTCGCCCTTGCTAAGGCACGGTCCCCTACATTAACTTCATGAATGAAAATCTCTTCAACAGAGCTATTCTATGTCTGGGAGGTCGACGTAATGACTCTGCATATTTTTCAGAGCATTTTCCGTCAACAATAGTAAAAATCACTATTAGTATAAAAAAGTTACACCCATTTTACTTCTAGCATGAGAACATGTAATAATGAAAACATTACTTTTGCACTTTATGCTATATAAAGAACTAAAATTGGTCAAGTTTCCTATTTTCTTGCACAATTACATAACCTTTCAACTGTCCTGTCAACCTACAATATTGATAGTAGCTTTTGCACCAAGCCACAAAAGAAATTTTTCCTACAAGAACTGAGCACATGCATTCTTGTCACCAAAGTGATGATGTCATCACAGTATACTCTTAAAATATATCACTGAATGTTGTTTGAAATTTGTAACTTTGATTCTCCACAGCTGAAGTAATTTGATGAGATAACGCCACTTCAGCCAATCACAATAATGCAATGTTGATCCTATAGCTAAATTGCAAGGCAAGACGCATGGACCACAAACAATACCCCATTTCAGAGCGACTGGCTTCAGGTTTGTTATGTACATGTACGATTGTGAAATAAATGTTAACAATGTTCATCTGCACTGGTTGCATATTTTTAGAAATGAATTTATGGATCACCAACCATTCCTAGTTTCTTATCTGATGAATCTAACCTTTTATATTTTAGCCAATATTTGGAACTCTGGAGTGTAAAATATAAAAAGGTACACATGACAGTTTGGGCCTTTCAGGTCCGTACCTTGCTTCCATAGCTAAGCACGCAATAAAGTGATAATCACGTGATACAAGACCTATACATGTAAATAGCGTATTAACGTAGTACTACTGGCACCCAAGTACCGTAAACTTGCTTGCTATAGACATATGTAGGAGAGCGCTATACTTTACCAGGCCTTGGTTTGTGACCTTGGAGAATTTTGAGTGGATTTACTCAACCAAACTACGCAGAAAAACTTTCTTCCTTAATGTATAGCTTGGTGCTGGCACCTGTTTCCTTACAAATATTTCACCTTCCTCTTTAAATTTTGCATCAGCATCACTAAGATGACTGTTTACTGTGGTCAAGATGGACATCAAATCTGAAGTGTTGTGGTGTTTGGTTATCTGATCGACCAAAGCATTGACAAACCAAGAGCCTTGGCTTTTACTTCGATATGACACATATCCTGGAACAGTAGCATAACTCAGTAGGAAGTCAGCCTCATTTGGTAACGTTTTGATGTCAGCGCCTATTCCACACGGAGGTTCATCAGTTTCAGTATCTTGCACTTTTGCTGGTACCTGTTGGACATGACCTTGGCAGGCCTGAAATCAAACAAGGAAGCCGTATCAGCTGTGCATCATCAATATAATTATAAAGATAATGCTAACAGTGTTCACATCCTCAGTTTAACTATTCTAATTGTTAAGTGTAATTTCATCAGATGCATTAACAAGCCATTGGAGAGGTAAAAGGGTACAGATTCATTGGGGAATACATTAAAGGTACAGTCCATCATTTGCAGTTACCCAAAAGTACATGTATCTTACATTATTGTTGAAAAGCATACGTGGTTTAAAGATTTTAAGGAATGAAACTCCCTGTGAAATTATTCTTTCTGGCAAGTAGTCATTTAGAAGCATGTGCAAGCATTGTCATGACATTGTCAGTTCATCTGTTCAGTGCATGACTGTCACAGAGTGATGTTACATCGGAATTACTCTTAAATTAATAAAACCTACCGAGTCAGCCACAGAAGCCAAAAGCCGACCACAATGCAAGAAACAGAAGCAACATTGAGGCGCTCATCACCTCATTTATATTGTAATCAAAATGTTAATGTTAGAAATTATCCTTATTTTGTGTTCTTTTCTAAATAAATGTAAATATTGTACAGGCAAACAAATTTCCAGCAACAGGTGTGTATATATTCCTGTCTAAGCTACCAAAGGTCTGTCCCTAAGAGTAAGACAACTCTAGGGGTGTGACAATGACATCACATACATGTAGTTGCAATCAACTTTACATGAGAACATGTCCCAGATGCTAAATTCTGGCACAATTCAAAACATGACTCAGTAACTTTTGATCTCAAATTGAATTCCTAGAATATTGCTTTTGTTGGGCTTTACAGTATTCTCTGAGCTGAAACTTCATCAGGTTTGTTCTTAGGCACCCTTCTTTAGATTTTGAGTAATTTTGTTGCCTTAAAGGAAAATAATGCACCAATGACAAATGTTGGACTATACTTTTAAAATCACCTATCTGTTGGGCCCTCAGCTAGTGGGAATGATGCATCTGTCAGGAACTTGCATGAATGAGCGTTCATACAAACTTGTTTCAACGTGTGTACACACAAGATGCTTGACAGTAGGGCATACATGTACACATCAGCTACACCAAAGCTGCCCTATACTTTCACAAACATGACTATCAAAATAAAGGAAACCCAAATTTCCACTATGACAAGTAAGCTTACACTGTACAGTAGATGACGACATTTGAATGTGCTTAGGCCAACACAAGTGCTTTTGAATATGTGTGTATGCTAACTCGTCACAGTGCAAATTTCACCTGCTGGTCAACAATGAATTGTTATTCATTCAACTGTGACATTGGGCACATGATCAAGGTGTCATTGGAAAGAAGACATTCAGGCCTTTCTGAAGATATCAAGATCTGCAGTTTTCCTATAAATCGTCATGTCGGTGCAACAAGGTCGTAACTCGCATTTGTTTTGTACACAAGATACAACCTTGTCACACTGACGTGACAAAATTATGGTTGAATTTGGGTTTCCTTTATTTTGATACACTCTGTATAAAAAAGACTGGGGTTTCTGCCTACATAAAAACATTTAATTTGAATGTTTTCCATAGCGGTAAAACACAGAGGTACCATTATAAAATAAAACACATTCTACTTATGAAAGAAAAATGAAATGGTAATGAACATACCTGTATGAAAAACATTTTTGGCTTGCCAGCAAGACTCTGACATGAAACAGCTGTGAAAAGTGCCATTATCTGGTGTATCTCAATTTCATTACAGTCAGTACCGTAGACTTTGCCCATTGCTCCATGCGTCAGGATACAGCATGCAAAGCAATCAAACTGACTATGGTCAAGTTGACTGACCCTCTTGAACCAATCCAACATGTCACGAGCTGAAAGATCCTCCTTCACTTCCACCTTAAAATGAAGTTTGTTGAACAGATTGTTCAGTTTACCTGTAGAGGAATGAACACATCGGCAGGTTTAATATGCATCTTATGATTTCACACAAATCTTGCAGTGTTGTAATTGTGACTTGTCTAATCACAGCAGCATGCATACTGTATCCCAAACTAGTCTTGGTTTCAAGACATTATTATTATTACTATTATTTGTTGATGCACAATGAGAACACAGATCTTTTATAACACCCAGAATGATGTTCACCCAGATCTTCCACAACTTTAAAGTTCCCTTGTCAAATCCTATTTGTTTAAGACCTTCTCCATGCTTGTAACCCTTGTTTCACCGGGAGTAGCCAAATTTATAATGTTGCTCACAATTCTTTTCCCATATCTAGAAAAACATCTGGCCAACTGTGTTGTGCAACACAGTCAGTCTGAATGTTGAAATGCCGGGAAACCTTAAATCCTCCATTTCAAGAACATTCTCCAAAACGTGCTCCCCCATTTGTCCTTGACCTTAATCCCTCATTTTTGACATTTTCTTGTCATACCTCCCCTTGTATTCAGTCTGGGCCATCTTGTTGGACTAATAAACCAAGTGGACCACAGTCTCCAATACTTTGCAATACTTTGTCTCCCTCTATCCTGGTGTTCATCATGTTCATCCGCATGCAGTGCCCACTCCTGTACAGCAGTTATCAAACCCTCCATTTTCTTCTCAAGTCATCTCTATTCAGCCATACCCAGGTCTTGTTGTTTGCTACTCTCATGTCCCTCAGAAAATTTCCATGGAGTAGCTTCCCTTCCCAATCTCTTAACCTTTCCTCCTTCCTTTTCCTCTCACAGTAAAATCTCGATAAGTTGAAGCCCGTTAAGTCGAAACTCTGTTTACCTCGAGGTCTTTCTGTATTCCTGACAAAAGAAAAGGCCTTTATGTACAATAAACTATCCCTAACTTGAAACGCCAATACCACTAAAGCTGCTTATCTCAAAGTTTTGGCAGGCAAATTAAAAAAAAAACACTGAAGAATGATGAATAAAGAGTGATAAAAGAACGCTTGCCTTCATTATGAGTCATTACTGTCACACGCACAGCTTTGCTTCGATGAGCCGAGCATGTTCACACAGGCTGCCATTGTCACATTGACAAGCACTGGTGGGCATCAACCGCAACCGTAAAATAAATCGGGCACAAATGATGCGCCCTCAAGCAAATACATGTATCACGTGACCCAGCAGGGAAACCCTGACTGACTGGCCTGCGCTGCGTTATGCGGTAACAGCCCGATCAAGCAAAGCAAATGAATGAATTCTCAAGACGTAGACATAGGTACCGGTACATAACTTCATTGGTTTATTATTTGTTAATGTACCACATAAAAACCACGTTTAATGATGACGTTTGAGGAAAACAGTAGGGATAGCCTAAAATCCACTTTGTGTTCAACTCAGCTTGCAGGCCAACTGCCGTAAGCAAGTAAGGTTGCATGTGCACTGAAGCATGTAACTTTCAATAACTTGAACGTCGGATAACTTGAACTTTTCGTCCATTCTCCTAAGCTTCAACTTATCAAGATTTTACTGTATATGCACTGCTGTACACTTTGTTTCCCAAGGTATATTTCTTAGCCATCCCCAGCCATCTATCCTGTGCCCAAGAAACAAACAGAGACCTCTCTCTGTTCCATGTTTACACAGTCCCTCATGCTCTTCAATACAAGTTCTCTTTCAGTCCTTGGCAAGTACAGCCTGCTGACATTAGCCCCTGGATGCAGCATACCATGCACTGTCAATAGTTTCCTCATCTTCCAGCCTACAGACTCCAACTCCACCTTGGTCCAATCAACAATCCCTGCAACTCCAGTTATCAATAAAGAGCAGATGACTTATTCTGCAGCCATCCTTTTTCATCTCATATCCGACACTGACCTTTTGTAAAGCTACACAGTAGCATCAGTGCCAGAACAAAAACCAGTCTTCTGGCAGCAGACGTGGGGGGGGGAGGATTAGTGGCCCCCCACTTTTTTTGACTGGGGGCATGCCCCCCACTTTTAAAGGTCCTAAAATGGGGTGGACTCACATATTAATGGCCCAAGCCTGATGGACTCAAAACTGCCCCCCCTTTGACAATCGTTCCGTGCTGCTGTTGAGAGAGTCCCTTTAAAAATCCCCCTTCTGATATTAACCTCACCCAGACTTTCATTCTTAGCTGTCAACATCATCCATAAGCCTTTATACTGTTGTCCAGCAATCACTTCAACCCCTCAGCAGTTCCACTAAATCCAAACACTATGTATAATCCATGAATGAGACAGTACATTGTATATCGTACAGCTTTTTGTAGTTAATCCAGACCATTGACAAATTGGTCTTTTTCTTAAAGTCCTCCTCCAGGACAGTTATTGACATGGCTGTTTCAACACATTCTTATCAATTATCTATCATCCGTACCCTGAAGACTGTCCACTCGACACTCCATCATCAATAGAGACTCCTCCTCCATATTCTTTGTGGGTGAGGTCTGCTATTGAATACCTACCCCAAACAGTTGTGAAATATGCAAATTTCCTTTGCATCTGATTCTATTCGCTACAAACTTGACCAACCGTAGTACGCCCTCTCGCCCTTCATCCTTTTTTGGTATTGGAACCGTCACAGCCAGAAGTGGGGAGGATGCGAGGGAGTCATCTGTTTGGGGTAGGTAGTCAATAGCAGACCTCATCCCCACTGAATGTGGGGGAGGAGTCTTCTGCTTTCATCCTACCCCAAACAGTCACTTAATATGCAGAGTAGCACTGATCCCCTGGAGGTGTAGTGTATGTTAATGGAGGACATAAAGTCACAGCGACTATTGGTGGACTCACTAGAACATAGAGCACAATAGGTAGTGTCGGAGGTGGTCTGCCCTGATGAAGAGTCCCTCTGCAATGTCTTGGCCAATGTTAAGACAGCTCTGCCATGTGAGGAGTCCCTTTGCAAGACATCAGTGAGGCAGCATGTGGTGAATGCGGAAGGGGTCTTCCAACATGCTACTTTGCAAATCTCCTGAACTGGCGGACGCCAGAAGTAGGCCCAAGAGGTTGATACAACCCAGATGTCATGAGCCCTGATGAGGCATTACGTTTGATTGTCTGAATGGTTCGGACATGTACCACTGAAAAGTTTGCACCGGGCACCAAGGTTTGTCATCTGGGGTCCCAGTGCATTTGGTACTGTCTAGCACAAATATGTCAGGAGGGTGAAAGGAGGTTGAGCCGTTCTTGGTGAGGAAGCCCGGCGCTGGGATGAGGCAGATGCTGTGGAGTTCCGATCGGATGTGGCTGTCAGCGATGGATAAGGCTTTGAGTTCGTTGCCTTGTCGTGAGTTACATGTAGTAACTGCCAACAGGAAAGCCAGCTTTACCGTTCATATGAGTAGCAATGCTTTGCTGAGTGGATTGAAGGGGGAACTGGTTATCAACTGAAGAATGACTGCGAAGTCCCAGGGGGGAATTAGTCTCTTGGTAGGGGGATGCTCATGGAACATTCCCTGGAGGAGGTGTCTAACGGCATCGTTGTCAGACACGGTCAAACCATCAGGGAAGCCGTCACTTATAGCTACGGTGGCTGAACAGTAGTTGCAAATGGTTGAGACCTGTAAACCTGACTGATACATGGAGACACAGATACATGAAGAAGTCGGCTACTACTGTCAT